TCAAAGAGCTGTAAGTTATCATCAGCACAAAGAGCTGTAAGTTATCAGCACAAAAACCTGTAAGCTATCATCAGCTCAAAGAGCTGTAAGTTATCATCAGCACAAAGAGCTGTAAGTTATCAGCACAAAAACCTGTAAGCTATCATCAGCTCAAAGAGCTGTAAGTTATCATCAGCACAAAGAGCTGTAAGTTATCATCAGTACAAAGAGCTGTAAGTTATCATCAGCACAAAAACCTGTAAGTTATCATCAGCACAAAGAGCTGTAAGTTATCATCAGCACAAAAACCTGTAAGTTATCATCAGCACAAAGAGCTGTAAGTTATCATCAGCACAAAGAGCTGTAAGTTATCATCAGTACAAAAACCTCTAAGTTATCTTCAGTAGTTATTCACATCATGACGAAACACAGCCACAAAAAGGCCACGGAGCTGAACCAACACCTTTTACAGTGTCCAAAAATCCCCACATGATCAAAATGCTGTAGTAACCTTCTCTGCACCTCGTTGCATTTGTACCGTTGCTGTCCAGCAGATGGAGCTCTAACATCAACTACTGATGTCTGTTTAATGGCTTCACCACGTGTTGTCAACTCATTTTCTGTTTTCCGAGTACTTGTACTTTTAATACTTTGAGTATGTATAGCTGATAATACTGATGTACGTCTACAAGTGAAAGGCAGGACTTTTACCTGTAAGTGAATATATTTAATCAGATCTTATTGATCTCTGAGTGGAAATTCACATCACAGCAGAGACATGTAAGGTAAGAAAAACATGACAAAGTATTTGAATGACAATAATTATAAATAAAAGATATAAGAGATGTATCATTACCTGAGAATATTAGTGAATAGTGCATGTCAGGATTGTTTTGTTTGATAAAGTAAAAACTTGCACACACTCTGAATATTCCACTACTTTTTTGCAGCTTAACCGAAGTAGTAAGTAGCAAAACAGAAACCCTAATTGACATTAGAGATTTTTTAAAAAGCATAACTTGAGTCTATTATGAATGTGCTGACTTGTGAGTTTCACAAAACATTTGTGAAAAGTCTTTACACAGCCGACTGAATCTAAATAGCTTTTTCTTATGCACTTATATCTCTGATTTCTCCTGTGAAGAATTTAAGTCTTATTTATGTTTCCCCTCCATCATTTAAAACATCTGAACTTATGAAGTGTGATGTGGATGTGATGAGACACTCCCTCTCCTCCTCCTCTTTCTTCTTTTGTGAACCGTTACTTTCACTCATCGTCTCAGACGGTAACGCAGTTACAGCTTCAACTGGTGAGTAAACTCAACTGAATCAAAATATAAAAAGTGGATTTATGTATTATTGGTGTTCTGTATAGAAACAAAGATGTTTAGGTAATATAACTGTTTGAGGCTGAAAATTCTCATCTGTAAAGTGATTATTGATCATTAGATGTGTTTTCTGTTCGGATCTGATGAGCAGCTCTGACAGGTTGTGTCTCAGTAACCTGACTGACTGAGCCAATCACATGTTAAACTGACAGATACACTGTCAGGACCATAAAAGCAGAAATTATTATAAGATTTTTCTGTAATGATAGAACAACATTGGTCCACAGGGGGAGCCACAGTGATCGGTTGCATTTTAGCCATTTTGAAGCATTTTTCTGTTGTTATAGCGCCACCCAGTTGCCAATTAGAGTTAAATTTCTCCAGTCACCTTGAGGCGTCCTGTTCTACATATCTACCAAGTTTAGTAAAAATCCATATGGCGGTTAGGCCTAGATAAGAAATGAGCTCTCTAGCGCCCCCATTTTGTTTGATGGGGTCAATAATGGAGGGGTCCCCTCAGATTATGTGTGGTCATATGCCTACAAAGTTGCGTGGTGATGGGTGAAACCCTTGAGATGTTATACACCTTTATGTGATGAGCCACGCCCTCCGCAATATTCATTGCCTTATAGAAGCTCAGTTTTAGTAAGTTTTCCAACTTTTGCCAAGAGGGAACTTTAGATATTGGTCCCTAGATTATGTTCACCCAGTTTCATGCAGATCGCTCAAACTTCCTAGGAAGAGATCCATTTGAAGTGTTTTTCAAAAAATTCAAAATGGCAGAAAATCTGTATAAGCGGAAGTTATGGGTTCTTGAGGCAAATGTGTTTCTCATGAGGAGAGGCATCTCTGTGCAAAGTTTCATGTCTGTACGACATACGGGGCATGAGATATGCCCATTCAAAGTCTGACATTTCAATCGGTTGCTATAGCGCCCCCCTTTGGCCAATTGATGTAATATTGCTTCATTGGCATCCTCCCATGACCCTCTACTATGGAGTTAGATTTGTGTCATTAATACCTGTAAATGCACAGAGGGTGATCTCCAAATATTTCTTGATCTGCACACGTTTCATAATTATGTGTGAACAGATCAACAATTTGTGTGTAAATGTGTAATCTGTAAATATAAAACACATTCCACAAATACAAAAAATATCTGTGAATACATTAAATTAATTTGCAAATAAATGAAAAGCATTTGTGAATATCTACAAATCTTTTTTTGTATTTGCGAAATGTGTTTTATATTTACAGATTACACATTTACACACAGATTGTCGATCTGTTCACACACATAATTATGAAACAAATCTATCTCCATAGATTTAAAACTACATACAAATATTGTCTGCACACAACACTTGAATCACGACAGCTTGTTTTACAGCTGACCAGTTTATGTAAAAACTCATATTTGGCCTTTTTAAAATATATATGTGGAAACTCTTGAAACATATTCCTCTGTCTGACAATGATGATATAACAAAATGTAGTTTCTCTGTAACATGTTAACATCATGACAACAGATTATCATCCAAGAGATTAACTGGCACCAATAACTGAATGTTGATGGATCAGTGCTCATCGTCAGTTGACTCTGTTCAGATCAGATTTACAGCTTGTTGTTTTCACCTTAATTTTAAGTGAGCTCAGATTATGTCCTATTCACATGCAAGTATCCCCCCCCCCCCCCACCCCCCATGTATAATTAATTTCTCACACACACACCCCTCCCCCACCCCCACTGTGCTATTCACAACCCTCTTAAGTGGAGATATTTGGAAATTTTCTGAGAGCTAATGGGGTTGTGTACATGATTTTCCATTTCGTAAACAATGTTCTCTATTACTTTGATCTTCCACATGAATCTGAAGTGATTCAGTCGAATAATGCCTACTATTATATCTTAGTTCTGTGGCTCTAACATTAGTTAGATTTATTATACTGAACCTAAAATGATTTGACTCGGCCTGTGAAACACCCAGCGTGTGATAGTGTGCAACTTCCTCCGAAATGGCTGCAGCACCTGCATATTTGCAGGAAACATAAAGTGGGTGCAACCACAAAACTCTGTTTACAGGTCTCTGTGTGGTTGAAACGTGTGTTTCTTGACAACATGTTTCTCACTAACCCAGAGTTCCTGTTTCTACGGTGAGACTGAGACACACTGAAGCTGAAAGCAGAAACAATGTTATATTAAAATGAAGCCCACACACTTTTACTGTAAAGGAGCCAGTTATTATTTTAGTGGCCAAACTTTAAATGACATGTTAACCAGGTGTAACATCACATTTTAAAGGAACAAATGTCTGTTTTTCCACATAACAGGGTTTGTATATTATTATTATTATTATTGTTATTATATCAGAGAACACAAGCATGCTCGTACATGCACACACACTTTGCATATTGTTGACCTGCAACATGTTTTAAAGCAGAACTTTATAATGAAAATGATCTATACATCCTACTACAATTCCTACACAGTAAATTTATGGTCCTACCCAAGTTGCCAAATTTAATCTTGTTAATATCAGGCCCACATTATTAAGATTTTTGCCCTTTGTTAATTTAAATATTTATTGTGGTTGTTTTACCAAAAACTGTTGGAGAGCTGTAACCCAAACCTATCTGAACTAAAACTGTATTCCAGTGTGTTTATTATTTTTTCAGATGATGACTGTGATTTTGACCTGTTACAAAATATGTGGTGACACAGTGCTCTTTGACTTCAGCAGAACTCTTCACAGATCAGAGGACACAGCACAGAAACATTGACACAAGTGAGTACTCACTGTTTGTCCGAGGGTTCTAAAAAACTGATGTTATTTCATAGTCTTTAAAGGTTCAATATATGATCCAATGTAATGTTTATTTATGTGTTTTGATGTTGTTGATGTTTTTTACGACAGTATGTGATTATTAATTCATCATTTGATCTATAAATCAAACTCCTAAATCATATTCATATTAATATACTTTAAGAATTACTGAACCATCAGTGTCGTTGATGTTTTTAATCTGTGCTAACTGATGGCCACTACAGAGCAACATGACAGGGTGAAAGACAGAGCCCTGATATATCGTCACCTTGAAGAGGAGTTGTTTCTAAACTGTTATCAAACAGTTTCTTAATCACACATGGAGCAATGACAACATGATGATTAGGAGTCTTTGTGTCACCTGATGACTGTCAGTCACATAATGTATGCATGACTGAATAGGTGAGCATATCTGTATCTATCTTCACAGTGACGGATGATGTTCCGCCTCTGGGGCGCAGCAACAGCTTCGGATATCTGCCACCTCACAGTGAGTTCAACTGAACTGAGTCAGAACTGATCTGTGATTTCATCTAATCTAAATTTAAAGTGACTCATAGCACAAACTGTGGGATTTAACAAAATGATGAAACATTTAAATTAAAGTTGTAATGCTTAAGATTTTGGGAGACCTGTGGTTACCATGGTAACAGCAAATGCAGTGCAATACGAGTGCTAGAATTCTGGGGACACCAAACAGTGGTTGAGGAGCTACTTTGTACAGTAGAAATACAGCAGAAAGCAGATAGATAAAGATGTCACTGAAAAATCTGCCTTTTTCCATCATGTTACGAGCAACCACCTTCTGGTTTTATGCTTCACATGATCGTCCCGTTTTTCCTGACAATTGTAGGACAAAGTAAGAGTAGCTGGAAGTGGTTATAATGATTTCCAACTCCTTTGAAACATAATTACCTCCAACTTCTCTTGTGATGTTGCAGAGGAGTTGGAGGTGTGCAGCCTGTTGCCTACAGCTCTTCCTCCAGCAGCTCAAAGTGACTTTTTCTCTGTGGCACCTCCACAATAAAAGGCATCCTGTGGCTCATCAGTTGAACACTTTTAATGGAAAGCAACAGCAGTACAATCTTCTGTTTGCATTAGCTGTAACTTGATTGCATGTTCATGTCTTTTTGACATGTTCACAATAAATAAAATCAAATATCATTGTTTCCTTTCACAGTGTCTGAGCTGAGGGTTGTTCTGCTGGGGAACAGCTGGTCTCAGAGGAGTTCAGTGGGGAACGTCATACTGGGAGAGACTAAGTTCAACACTGTGGAAGAACCAGACTGCTGTCTGACAGAAAGATGACAGATAAAGGACAAAGAAATAGTTCTGATCAACACTCCAGATCTGCTGCATCTCAACATCTCTGAAGACAAACTGTCAGAACATGTAGAAAACTGTGTGAGACTCTCTGCTCCTGGACCTCATGTGTTCCTGCTGGTTCTACAGCCTGAAGACTTCACTGAGAAACACAAACTGAGACTCTGCAGAGTCCTGAAACTCTTCAGTGATCAATCATTTGATCATTCATTGATACTGATTTCAACACCCAGAGAGGAGAGTTCAGGTTTCAAAGATGAACCAGACCAGCCCTTAAAAGACATGATCAGAATGTGTAGATACAGATACCTGAAGCAGAAGAACCTTGAACGTCCAGAGCTGTTAACACGATTGGGTCAAACTGCAAAGGAGGAAAATAGAGAGCATGTGAGGAAAGAAACAGGTGGAGAAAGTCAGAGCAGAGAGCCTCTCAGGATGGTGCTGGTTGGGAAGACTGGCAGCGGGAAGAGTTCCAGTGGAAACACCATCTTAGGCAGAGAGGTCTTTGAATCTAAAGCCAGTCAGAAGTCTGTGACCAAGACATGCAAGAAAGCAATAGGAAAGGTTGATGAACGGCCTGTCATTGTGGTCGACACTCTTGGCTTGTTTGACACCAATGAAATGTCCAAAACTGAAGAAAAACAGAAGCGTAATGAAGCTGAAATTCAGGAGGAGCTTTTGGAGTGCATCACCATGTTGACTCCTGGACCTCATGCCATCTTACTGGTGCTGCAGATCGGTCGTCGCTTCACACAAGAGGAAAAAGACTCTGTGAATACCATCCAGAAGATTTTTGGTGAAAATTCAGAAGATTTCATCATGGTTCTGTTCACCAGAGGAGACGATCTGAACAATCAGTCAGTTGAAAGTTACATAGATGACGACTGTGATGACTCTGTCAAAAACCTGATTAAAGAGTGTGGAGGGAGATACCATGTCTTCAATAATAAAGATCAGACAAACAGAGCACAAGTCAGAGAGCTGATGACAAAGATTGACTCCATGGTGAGAGAAAATGGTGGGAACTGCTACATGACAGGGCTAAAGGTTGAGAAAGAGGTTAAGAACCTTTCGAGAGAGATGAAAGAGATGAAAGATGATTTGCAAAGAGAGAGGGCCTTAGCAGAAAAACAGGAGAAAGAAGTGGAAGCACTGAAAAACAAAATAGAAGCACAGGCAGCTATGGGGGAAGAAGTGAAAAACCTCAAGGAGGCAATGGAGAGCTTGAAGAAAGAAAAAAAAGGGGGGAAAAAATGCACCCCCCAGTGACACTGCTGCCATCCTGCCAATCTCTCAATACTTTTTTGTTATATTATTGTAGTATTATACAATTCTGTAACATGATTAGATATCAATATTTATGCTTTGTTTCCCAAACGATAAGAAAAAAAGATCATGTTGACATATTTGATTAGTTGCAGTGATAAAGCTGATGATATGACGTCATCACTGTATAAATTACACGTGTTGCTAACATGCAGCAGGTAAACAAACAAACCCAAAGTGAGAGACGTTTGACAAGCAGAGTACTTTGGGCCGACCAGGGCAGAGGGCACCTTTACACCGTTTTAACATTTCCTTTGAAAACGATTAAGGGGCAAAGTTTCAACCCAAGACTGTTACTAAAGTCTCTCTATCAGAATGTCGTGGGATGAATTTCACAGTGTTTGAATGGTTCCTGCAGAGAGAGTGGCTCCAGTGGAATCTACCCCTGCAGACATTTAATGTTTTGTGTGTTTAAATATCTGTATGAGATTTCTGTGCCTATTCCAATACAAATAAGGTGAATATAATTTCTAGAGACTTTACATCTAGAAAGTCAACAGCAGCATCTCTTAGACACATCATTTTCATTAAGATGATTTCTGTGGTGGAAAATATAGCTGTTCACATTGTTTGTAGTACATAAAAACATGACTGTTATTTGAGGAAGTCGAACTTAAAACACACAGATTGTTTTTATGAATGTGACCAGGGCCTTGATTCCCAAATGCATCTTAATACTGAAATGATCATACAATCCATCCTACAAACCATCTTAAACTCATTAAGTGTTTCCCAAAAGCTGAAGATGTTCTCTGAAATGATGGTTAATAAACAGGAGCTACTGGAACAAACAAAATGAAGAAAGAACCAGCAGTGCTGCAGGTTTTAAATCAGAACCTTTCAGCAGCTTATGGTCAACACTGCAACTCATTAAAATAAAGATAATGTTGCATCAGTGTGTCAGCTGAGCTGTTCCCTCAGTATGTTGCTGTAAACAGTAGGTCATCAGTCTGTGTAGGAATGTTATGACTGATACTGTATTTTCTACTAAAAACAATGAATTCTTAAAAAAAATGTGTTTCATCTGAACTGTACATGTAAAATGTACTGTACATGAACTGTACATGTAATTTAAACATGTCCATAGCAACACCATTATTATTTCTCATCAGAACCTTTTGTATTTTTTTTTTTTTTAGTGTTTATTATTTATTATTTTATTATTTACCTACTATTATTTCAACTAAAGTGTGATGCCTTTAAAACACAGACAGACCTCAGGTGGTTCTAAAGCAACTGCCTTTTTGCCCTCCGTCTAAATATGCGCCATTTTTGCAATACATGTTTTTTTTCTATTTCCTTTAATAATTTTACATTTTAGTTTGTAAGTTTTGCCCATGGTATCAGCTCTCAATTAAAAGTGTGTTGTATGTCCAACAATGGCATTGGAATCGAGCACCTGCCCCTCCGTCTTCAACTTTACTCATGGTAGCTGCACACAAGTCGAGCAGCATCACGTCACCCTCGAGTGCCGTCATGGACAGCCAGATAATGATAGTGTTTGACCTGAGCCTCAGCTTTGTTTGTCTCTGTTGTGAAACTGAATAACTCCTAAAACTCTCAACACAGCCAGGCTAATTTAGGTAACAACCCATCATTAAAGGGACAGTGTGTAGAAATTTCTCCCATCTAACGTTGAAATCGTATATTGCATTCAAACGGATAGCGCACTCTAGCGCCTCACTGTTTTGCATCTACAGTAGCCGCTGTGTTTGTGTGTGTGTGTGTGTGTGTGTGTGTATTCATTTATATTTTGATCTTCATCTGGTGATTCAACGCCTGCAGCAGTAGGGAGAGGGAGAGAGAGAAGACAGAGAGGCAGAGGATCGGTATGAGCTAGGCGTGCAGGAGGAGGAGCGCTACATCAGCATCCCTTTTAAAACCTTTCTCCTTCAGCAGCTCTCTCCACCTGGGAAAGCCTACCCCGATGTTGACCCTTGTTTTTTTAATTCGCCGCTCACGTTGCCTTTTTGATTCCCTTTTGCGCTTTCTTGGCGATGAGGATTCCATCTCCCATGATGCTGCATTATGCTCAAAGAGTGGGACTGTGTTATGCTGCAGTAGTGCTGGGGTCGTAGCGAAGTGCCTCTTGCTCCTCTCCTTCGGCTTCTCAGTCACGCAGCACTGGCCTGGCTCTCAACAAAAACGCCATCCCTCGCTGATGGAGGTGTTTTGAAGATGGCGAAACATTATGGAACCCCCCAGACGGCGTACCCGCACAATGTATGAACAAATCCGAAATTCTCCTTTTAAGAGAATAAGGCAGATTATTGGTGGAGGTAATGATACACCAGTGATGACATGTTTATGAATGCAGACATCGATTTTTGCCAATAAACAACTGAAAATGTTACACAATGTCCCTTTAACAACCAGTAACACAGTGTGGTGTAAAACCACTCCATCTCCCTCCAACTCTCTGTCAGATTCAGGTTCACCAGCTGCCCGGTGTGAGCTAACACACACTGAGAGGCTCTCTGCTAACAACACTGACAGATGCTAAATTGCTTTTCCACTTCAATGTGTCTTTTTAAACCACCACCCACAACCCTGTACAGGCGTCCTTGCTCTTCATAGTACAGTAGTTGCCAGCAGCATTGTGTCATACTGCTACTAAGAGTATCTCATTGTCTGTTGCCAGCGGCCAGATTTGACAGTTAAGTTTGTAGTGGCGGCATGAGAAGTAGCTGCTGCCCAATTCATCACATCACTGTAAAATGTGCCTCAGTACGCTGGTATCTGATGCCAAAATCACTGATAAAGCAGCATTATTTGATGAGTTGGGAGTCAGAACTGGCCAAATAGTTCAGGTAGTGACAGCTCGTAAAAAACAGTTTTTTATTAGCTGTCAGTTCTGACACAGGCTGAAATATTTCTTCAAAACTCGACAGAGCATTTTGTTGTTGTTGTTGTACCAAAACCAGAGTTCCCCAACTGTGACTGAGACACAGTGAAGCTGAAAGCAGGATGTTATATTGAAAGACATTCACACATCTGCTCAACCTACACACTGCACACCTGAGTTAGATAACACATGCTCTTTATTTTATGTATTTATTTTAACAGCTATATTTTCCTTCTTCAGTTTTTCAACAAATACATCACTACACACAGTCACAGTCTCTCCAGAGCTGATGACATAAAATATGCTTTACATCACCTGTTAAATGTGACTACAAACTTATGTAACATTGTTCGGGTATTGAAAAGCAGTCCTACGTTTTGTTGCTTGCTTTTTCTTTATCTGAATTTAGACTTTACATGTACTATTAAAAATTGTGAAGCCATTTATGAATTGTGATTTTTGGTACCTATAAATGTAACTGACTTGAATTTACACTCAGTCTTTGATTTACACCAGTTATGTTTAAATATCATAAAGCAAACGTTTACATAATCAAGTTAAGTGGCCCCTGATTTTAATTGCTAGTCAAAGATATTGTGTTTGTTATTGAAACACCATGAAATAATTGAAATAAAACAGGATTTAACATGATTTAGAGTTGCTTTTTCGAAATAATCTAATCATGTGTTATAGCCTACAATATTTGCTGTCAGTAAATGAATTTCAGTCATAAAACATATTTTAAACTATTGAATTCACTTATTCACTCATCGGTCACGCCTCCTCTTCCTGTTCTTTTGTCAGCTGGTACTTTCACTTTATTCATCTTTACTTCTGGCTGGTGGCTCATCAATGAGCTCAGCTGATGAATAAATCCCGACAAAACTGAACAGAGACACAGCCAGTGGGTCAGAGGAGCTACATTTTCACGTCATTCTGGAAATCGATCGCTGATCATCAGGTGAGTGTCTGTTCAGATCACATCCACAGCTTGTTGTAGCCACAGTAACTTAAGTAACTGAGCTGGAAACTCCTCTGTCCGCTCACACGGTGCGCACCATGGTGAGTCCGCATTCAGTTTGATCACAGCCGGCAGATGCGCCAGATCCATCGCCACATGTGAGCGGCGAGAGTGGCGTATAAGTCAACACGACCACATGGCTCCAACAAACACAAACAAGTCAAGGAAGATGGATAAAACAGCGAACTGATGACTGACATTCAGGCTTACACCACAACTCCTAAAGTCACCATTGTTTTTGTCCTGTAGTCCGACATTTTCGTTTGTCTTGTCAGCAGACAGGTGGTCACTGCAGCTGGCTGACAGACTGCACTTCATTTCGACAGCTTTCCAGGCTCTCGCCGTTACGTGTTAAGTAGTGCACTGGCGTACTGAAATGGAGCGGACGAACACGTCAAACATGCAGAAATACACCAGACACACCGACCTCTCGGACAGCTACTGTCACGTGCAAATCGTTAAGTTATAATTTAATGAAAATAAAAATTAACAGTAATAAAAATATCAGACTGAAAGAAAAAACGATGGGTTTGTTTCCCCAGTTCACAGAGGGGGCTGTAACCACGTGTTTAGGCTATATTACTGCGGAAATAGGAAATGACCTTAGTTTTGTCTTCCTTATATTTGTTAGGACTGTTTGGCTTTCTGTTGTTTTATAGCCCTCTGTCACATTTCTGCTTTTGCTTTGTCTGTCAAAGCACTTTGGAAACTCTGTTTTTAAAGGTGCAGTAGGCCCATGGGTGCAGATCCCGGGGGGTAATTCAGTAATTTTGATTGAAACTTCCTCAAGAAAAGGAAAGTGTGCCCATAAAAGATTTAAAAACGTAATCGGATTCTGTTTGTAAGTATTTATTGTGCTCTTGTACTAACACTAGCATTTCTGGCTCTGTAAAAAAACATGATCAGTTAGTTTAACCAAGCTCAGTTTGGGGCTCATGTTCTGATAATCATCCATATCCACTGATGTATACAGTAGTCCCATATACTGGGAGAAAGGAAGGATGATGAGGAGAACTGGGAATCTGTGAGAGGCGAGAGATGAGAACGTGAGTGGACGTAACATGCCTGAGACCCTGAAACTAGAAGTAGCATTAACTAACAGTGAAGCAGTGAAAAGGAGGGTGATGGCTGGCTCCATGTACTTTTTGCTGTTTAAGAGAAATAAACAGTAAAGGTAATCATATGATTCTCTGTGTAGTGCTTTTTGAATGACTTGGTGATGGTGATGACCCTCTATGAAATCGTGAAATATGCTGGCAGTCTCAAGCGCTCTGTGGGCATGATTTGCACGCGTGCAATAAAAAAAAAAACTGATTGTGCCCCCTAAACTTGACATCAGATCTGCACCCATGAATAAAATCATAATAACAATTACAATAATAACAATAGTAAGAATTGTTATTATTAGTAGTAGTAGTATCAGTATTATTGGTTCAGTTGACTGTTAAACTTGGAAAATGCTGACCTAGAATTCCGTTTCAAGTTTAAACCCATGTGACTGAGACACACTGAAGCTGAAAGCAGGACTGTTTTGTTTTTTTTTAATTACACATCATTCAAACCAGAGTTAAATTAATAATTACTACTATTATTAAGATATTTCTCATTTATTTGTAATATATTCTTTATGGTTCTTACTCTAGATGTTAGTCAAATATAGATACAAATGCTGTAAAGTAAGAATGATCTCAAAAATATAAAGTTTAGTTTTTTTTGTTTTTTTTATCGACTCACAAAATGCAAATTGAGCAAACAGAAGAAAAACCTAAATTGCATCAGTATCTGGTGTGACGACCCTTTGCCTTCAAAATGGCATCAGTTCTTCTAGGAACACTTACACACAGTTTTGTGAAGGAACTTGGCAGGTAGGCTGTTCCAAACATCTTGGAGAACTAACCACAGATCTTCTGTGGATGTAGGCTGCCTCAAATAATTCTGTCCCCTCATGTTATCCTAGGCAGACTTCATGATGTTGAGATCAGGGCTTTCTGGGGGCCATACTATCACTTCCAGGACTTCTTGTTTCTCTTTATGCTGAGGATATTTCCTGAAGACATTGACTGTATGTTTGGGGTCATTGTCCTCTTACAGAATAAATTTGGAGCCAGTCAGGTGCCTCCCTGATGGTACTGCATGATGGATAAGTATGTGCCTGTATTTCTCAGCCCCGAGGACACCATTAATCCTGACCAAACCCCCAACACCATTTGCAGTAATGCAGCCCCAGACTTGCATGGAACCTCCAGCATGCTTCACTGTTGCCTCCAGACTGACATTATTATGACGCTCTCCAGACTTTCAGTGCACAAACTGCCTTCTGCTACAGCCAAATGTTTCACTGCACCTCTGCTCCTGGGTGTTTGTGCATAGTTGAGTCGCTTGGCATTGTATCCACATCGGAAGTTTTGCTTTTTGGTCACAGTTCTTCCATGAAGACCACTGGCACTGCTGGACATCCTCCAACTTCGAAAGGAAGTAAGCATAGTGTGTCTTTCATCTACTGCACAAAGTTTCCTCGGCTGACCGCTGCGTCACTGCTCCTCAACATTGTCTGTTTCTTTGTGCTTTTTCAAAAGAGCTTGAACAGCACATGTTGAAACCCCAGTCTGCTTTGAAATCTTTGCCTGGGAGAGACCTTGCTGATGCAGTATAACTACGTTGTGTCTTGTTACTGTGCTCAGTTTTGTCATGGTGTATGACCTGTGACAAATGCAAAAATTGCTGGAACCTTATTATTTCTGTTTGTCCAGATATTTTCCAGTGAGTTTTTCCTCAGTGCTCACCCTGCAAATCAAGTCGTTTTTTTTTAACTCTTGGGTCATCACTATGTGCATCAGCTGTAACGCTGCTGCCTCATATTTTGGCAGTCAGAGGTTAAACTACAGTTAAAATACAGCTGCATCACTAAACTACAATAGTCAGGCAGAACTCATAAAAATCACATTAAACTAGTCCATAGCCATTGGTAGCTTTGTCACCTTCTACCTATGCCAGTCCTCAATGCCTATGTGCAGTTTCACATAGATTGACCACGTCAGTGAGTAGAAAAACGTGGGACAGACAGAATGACTGACTGACAGAATGACACACTGACAGTTTCCGTGATTATGTACAGCATACCATACCATGACTTAGTCATACCAAACATTAGAAAACAACACCAACATTGGTCCACAGGGGGAGCCACAGCGATCGGTCGCATTTTAGCCATTTTGAAGCATTTTTCTGTTGTTATAGCGCCACCCAGTTGCCAATTAGAGTTAAATTTCTCCAGTCACCTTGAGGCGTCCTGTTCTACATATCTACCAAGTTTAGTAAAAATCCATATGGCGGTTAGGCCTAGATAAGAAATGAGCTCTCTAGCGCCCCCATTTTGTTTGATGGGGTCAATAATGGAGGGGTCCCCTCAGATTATGTGTGGTCATATGCCTACAAAGTTGCGTGGTGATGGGTGAAACCCTTGAGATGTTATACACCTTTATGTGATGAGCCACGCCCTCCGCAATATTCATTGCCTTATAGAAGCTCAGTTTTAGTAAGTTTTCCAACTTTTGCCAAGAGGGAACTTTAGATATTGGTCCCTAGATTATGTTCACCCAGTTTCATGCAGATCGCTCAAACTTCCTAGTGTGGCAAGTGGAGGGTGGAAAAGATTTGTTGCCAGACAACGCCACCTGGGGAATTGAACCCCCGGAAATAGTTAATTTTAACAATGTTAAAGGTCACACAAGGTCCGAAATTACCACAGGGCAAGAGACGGTTTATAGAAAATATACCACAAATTTTATTTCAACAACAATCAATGAAATCTATAGGTTAACATCAGCTGTTGCACGCAATAACTGCACAAAAAGCAAACAAATAATTACCTGTCCAACAGAAAGACAGCAACCTCTGCATCACTTTTCAGGCCCTTCAGCTCCCTCAGTTGTCTCCACCGTTCAAAAGCTGCACCGATGTTGATGTCTGGTTTGTCCTCTCGCTTTATCTAAAGCCTTTTTCGTCACAGCCTTTTCTGCCTCTGACTTTCTCTTCTCAGCCTGTTTAGTGGGGCGAGCTGTTACAAGTAACACTGGAAGTGGTGCTTTTGGCTGCATTTTCTCTGCCATTGTGCAGCAAACTCCTGCTAACTCTGTATTTCTGCTGAGGAGTGTGCTGAATAATTCCGGCAACGGTGACACGTGATGAGTGCACGCAGGGAGGAGGGAGGGAGGGACGGAGGGGGGCTTGGGCAGGACCAGAGCGATATATAAGGATGAGACATGAAGGCATCTGATTGGTTCTTTCCACTCGCACCGAGAGGCAGGGATTGGTCAGAGTTTTTACAGGCCTGCAGCTGCCACACAGGTCGGATTTTTTTCGTTCCTTTTTCTGAACACATAATGTATTGACTACTCTCAGGATGGAAGGACCATTTCACCCAGTATAACTAGAAGTGTTTCTGAACAGGATTACCAACTATATCTTTAATGAGACTGTGTATTTCATTTGATAATAATGTTTGAAATCTAGAAAGTGATTTCAATCATCTTTTTTTCAATAAATGTTGATTTGCTTAACTTTGCAATGCTCTGCAGTTTATTGGGTCACACTAACTTGGAAAACAGAAAACAATCGTGTACTGACCTGGGACAGTTCCAAAATGGCAATGCTGGATAGGCGATATGTTTTAATGATTGTTTCCTCATTCATTCCAAAAATGTTCACACGAGGGTGAAAAATGTGTTCTCTGTGTCTTCTTTCATCGTTTCGATGTCTCCTTCTTGTAACAATAACCGCAGCCATGTGTGCGCACTGTTAGTAAATCAGTTTGTACATTTTTTTGCGTGTGCAATGAGTTTTCACACGTTTTTATACATGCAAACCTTTAGTAGATACGGCCCTAAGAGTAACACTGTTCTCGGTATTCTCAATTGATATTTTCATATTTGTTTTATACACATGGTAAAATTGATTCTCAGGTATTAAGAAGTGCCGTGGTGTAAATGTGTGGTTGATTGATTGTGAGGAGAGTGTATTAATGTAGTCTGATTAGTGATGGAATATTATAGTTTGAGATTGGGGGCTAGGACTAGACAAGCATGTTGCTTCTTCCTACTCCTTTTAGGACATGAAATGTTAAAGCTATATGTAAGAAATCTGAAGCAAATAGTCATAAAATCCTCCTAATATGTCACAGAGACCAAGGACGCGGTGACGCTGCCCTGCCACGGCAGCCGCCTATGGGCAAACAAATCAGTCTCCAGCGTGCCTCTGTCCAGCAACCTCGAATCTGTAGGGGAGGGGGGGCGGACACGACTCGTGGCAGTATTTTGAATTTGAGTGCAGTAACCGTTTGGCCACATTCTTACATACAGCGCCTTTAATGTATGTTTCTCATTGTAAGTCTGTTCATGATTTCTTGTTTGTCTCTGTTTTGTAGGTTTTTTTCCTACAATATATTCTATTTTTTTTAAATGTTCAAAATAAATAAATAAAATTAAATCAATACCTTATCTTTTTGTTATGTTACAGTATCTGCATTCAGAATCGTGCTGCTGGGGAAGACACAGGACTCTGACGACACTTTGCATCTTCATGCTGCAGGGTCAAGGATTTCATTTCCAAATCATTCCCAGATAAGCATTGTGCTTAATGTTTGCATGTGGAGAGCAGAGACGTAAACTATTAACACAAGTGAAACCTCCAGAAGTCTGCAGTCTGCCAGAGAACACAGTGAGAAGAGAGGTGAAGAGCTGTGTGACTCTTTGTCCTCCTGAACCAAATGTTCTGCTGCTGGAGGTGAAGCCTTCTGATTCACTGAGAACAGACAAACTGAAGTTTGATCAGTCAAGATACCTTTAAACACTCAGTCAGAGCAGCTTTAAACCTGGTCCTGTGTGGGAGGAGAGGAGCAGGGAAGACTTCAGCAGCCAAGGCCATTTTAGGTCAGACAGAGCTTCATTCAGTCTCCAGCTCATCAGAGTGTGTTAAAGAGGTGAGAAGAACCTCAGGAGGGAGTGATGGCGGCATCATCCGGTCATATCTCTGATGGCATTCAGACAAGAGAGCCTCTCAGAATAATGGTGATTGGAAAGACCGGCAGTGGGAAGAGTGCGACTGCAAATACTATTCTGAATAAAGAATGTTTTACATCCAAAGCCAGTCAGACATCAATCACCAAGTGTTGCCAAATAGCAAGAGGAGAGATTGATGGACGGCCCATCGTTGTGGTCGACACCCCCGGCATGTTTGACACAACTTTGACTAATGATGAAATTAAACAGGAGCTTTTGAATTTAATCAGCATGTTGTCTCCTGGACCTCACGTGTTCTTACTGGTGCTGCAGATCGGCCGCTTTACACAAGAGGAAGAAGAGGCTGTAAAATTGATCAAGATGATTTTTGGTGAAAACTCAGGTAATTTCATCATGGTTCTGTTCACCAGAGGAGACGATCTGAACAATCAGTCAGTTGAAAGTTACATAGAAGAAGACTGTGTTGACTTTGTCAAACACCTGATTAAAGAGTGTGGAGGGAGATACCATGTCTTCAATAATAAAGATCAGAAGAACCGAACACAAGTCAGAGAGCTGCTGACAAAGATTGAGACCATGGTGAGAAAAAATAAAGGCTGCTGCTACATGGAAAAGGAACTGATAGAAAAACTGTTTCAGAAAGAGAAGGAGGAACTTCAAAGACAACATGAGCAAGAAATTGAAGAGCTGAACAAAAAAATAAATGCACAGACTTCTGAACTGAATCAGGAGAGAGAGAAGAAAGAAGAAATGGAGAGAAAAATTGAGAGCTTGAGGAAAAAACAGAAAAGTAAAAGAAAATGTACCATCCTATAATAATGCTGGCGGCTGCCTGCACTCTCTTGGCCAACATTTAACCAGGTTTCTAACCAGCTTTTTACATGAACATTTGTGAACAACAGGAAGACTTTAAACAGGAGATGTTTATCCACAACACTCAGAGACCCATCATTACATGCAAAATAACTCAACTCACATAAGAAGCCTCTGAAGTCTGGATCAGCCAGGAAACAGATGAACAGTTAAATTCAGACACATTTACACTGTAAGGGAAAAACTCTGAATTAATGAAGAGTTCCCAAAGTGTCTTTGGGACCACTACACATTTACACTGTGAACAAGGTTAATATATATTGTTTTTGATATGTGTCATAAATCTGACCATGTTTCTTTCACACTGTCACTGTCACACTGAAAAGGTTAAAATGTCTTGTGAACCTTTACAGATGTTTTTTTGTCATGTTGTACATTCGTCCTTTCAGCTACTGGAATGCATCAGACTCTCAACGACACACAGTGTCTTTCTTTAAAAGAATAAAACAGGTTGGTTCAAGTTAGTGTGACTGACTTTGACAGTGACAAAAGAGTAGTGATAAAATGTAGTAGTGTCACTGTCATTGTAATAGCATGTGTTTAAAGTAATGTCAGAACAACCATTTAAAAAAACAATATGATGTAAAATATGTGTAGAGATGACAAAGGAACAAGTTGGTTAAAGGAAAGTTTTTGAAAATGTGACATGACAAAAAAAAACGTTTTCATGTGTGGATCAAAGTTTTATGTTTGCTCTGTAATAATAGATTTTTTTAAATTTATTTATTTATTTTTACCATAGTTGGAATATGTCTTTATGGACCTGCTTGTTAGAATCAGTTTGCTGAGGTTCTTTATTGCTATTATTATTTTATGTCTTTTGTTTTTAACCCCACGGTTGTTCCTGTAAATAAACTCAGTCACAATAAAACTAAACTAAAAGTGATTCTTGTACTGTAGGTGATTATTTTTGTTTTTCCATGTTATACTAAAAGATTGTTCTTTTTACTGTATTACATTCAGCTGACAGCTGTACACTCACTCTGCTTATTAAATTTCACACACAGAACAGAATGAAGAACAAATAAAATCTGATATTTTGCTGTTTAACTTCCCAATGGTAGATAAAGTAATTCAAATTTACATATTTATGGGGCTTCACAGTAATGCAATGGTGATGAAAACCAGACCTAATAATTATATTATAACTCTGACAGGTATGGGGATATTATGCTGCATGATAGGTACTTTTACTTAATGACTGTGAGATTTTTCAGATAATATTTACATACCTGTTCACCAGTAAAGTTTTGCATTCAGGACTTTAATTTGTAACTCAGCATATCCACATGATGTGAACAGTTATTCCAGCCCTGACACAGGTCCACAATAAATGTTTTCTTGGCCGCTAAGGACATATTATCATATATACATGCTTCAAAATGTTTTCCAAACAAAAATTAGCTCAGCTTTATCCGTCTTTAACAGTTCTTAAGATAAGATAAGATAAGATAAGATAAGATAAGATAAGATAAGATAAGATAAGATAACCTTTATTGTCCCAAATGGGAAGTTTGTTTTGGGCACATATTGGGATGTAGCTGCATGGCAGATACAACCATCATGTACAATGAAGACACATAGACGACCATGTAGTGCAGCAAGAATACAGATTGGAATAACATGATTGTACAATCAGGACTACTGGGTGAAACAGATACATCAACTGTGTCATAGCAGGTAGGGCTAAAAGAATAAAAGCTCCTTAAGGTTGCACTAGCCCAGGAGATAATTATGAAAAGTGCAAATGAAACTGAAGCATGAGTAAAAATGTACCAAAGTGTGCAACAGGTCAATAGTCACAATAGCAGCCCTGCTCTGCCAGGGAGACTCTGCAGGGCCAGCAGATGAAGAGAGTGGCATGACCACAAGAACACTACAGACATACAGTATTTTCTGTGAGGGGGAGTCAGAGGTGTCGGGGGTGAAGGATGTCTGTGCTCTGAACACCTGCACGTGTCCAAAACAGGTGTGGAGACAGAATGCGCCCTGTCAAACCTGCAGCCCCCCATCTGACCTGCACAGGTGTGATAATGATCTATTTAGGGACCTATCAATTGTGGCTCATGATTAATGTGATTGAAAGCCTTAGAGGCATCTATAAAGCTCATAAACATTGTGGAGTTCTGACGATTGTATTAGCGTAAACTTTCCTTTAAAGCAAAAATATACAAATAAATAAAACATCACAACAAACCACAGCCTCCAAAACATCACTGATCTCAATCAGTAACACTGACACAGTCCAACACATGACACATGTTTCAAGTTGTTGGATTTAATTCACCTGAATTTAAAGTCTGTGTCACATTATGATCACATTAATGATCTGTGAGTTAACAACTGGTTTATTTTACTAACACGTTGTGTTGTCCTGTTGTGTGTCCAGCAGGTGGAGCTCTAACACTGACACAAGTGAACTCTGTGTAAACGAGCCTGTGTCAGTAAAGGTTAGGAAAAAAATTAAAAAGTCAAGAGGCGTTTTTCTTTTTCTGAGAGGGAAATGTTTTTCTTCATGTTGCTTATTAAAGCACGTTAACGATTATAAAGTCATTATAAATATTTTGGAGAAGTTGTGATTATACAGAAACACATCTGAATATGTTGTAAAACTTTTTTCCTACAAGTTGTGAGAGATAGTTTTATTTTACTTTCAGTTTCATCGTGGGCAGTGATGGCGCAGAAACAATCAGCTGGTGAGTAAACTCTATCAAACTAAACACACACACATAAATTAACTCTGTGAATGATGCTGATGGAGACACGTGTTGTTATATGAGCAGGAGTGTGTAGAGAGGTGACAGTGATCGCTGAGGGTTGTCAGGTGGGCTCAGGTGATGAGTGGGCCGCTCACATCCTGGAAGACACCGCGGGAACAACATGATCAAAACATTGAATAAATATCCGTCACATTAAACCTGTGTTAGTTTGACAGTAATGTGCAGCCTGGCAGCAGCTGTTTGGGATCCGCGTGATAAAACTGTTAAACACCGGAAATAAATGACGTGTGTGTGTGTGTGTGTGTGTGTGTGTGTGTGTGGGTGTGTGTGTGTGTGCACGTAGCTCTTGTCACTTTATGAGTTTATAGATCTGTTAAAATGAAAGATCCGTCAGTTTTTACTGTAAAGTCATCTGTTCATCTGCAGAGAGGAGGAGGAGGAAATAAAACCGTACTGACGACGTCTATGAGGATCTGTTAGGCCTACTCATGACTGCTGCTGCTGCTGCTGCTGCTCTCAGTGATACTTTTTATTTTAACAATCTTTACTGAACTCAAACAAACACAAAAACAGGGCCATCTCAAATTAACTTAAAATATCAAGTAATGAAAACAGTTTAAGAGCTCTCACGTCTTCAGCAAGTTTCAGTGACTTCCTGTAGAGTTTTAACTCTGTCAGTGGTTCACACTGGGTGGAGTCTGAAAGTATGTATGAATGAAACACTTCCCCAGTGTAAGACCAAACTGAGCGTCTCCCTGTCAAAGGTCAGGACACAGCTGAGTGTCTCTGGACTGTGGCCCTCACTGCACATCACTCCAGAAGGACTGCACAGCTTCACATGAAAGTAGTCTTGTGTCGCTCGCGAACGAATCGTTCAAAATAACAAATCTGTTGAGTGAGCATACTGAACTGAATCACTTCTGGAACTGATTCGTTCATTTCTCAGTTCAGTTGAGCTCAGCAGCGAAGCGTGCAGGCCGGGAGTGGAACTGCCGATTCAGTCCGTACGAAAGATGAATCACTCGTGAGTTGTGAAGCAGCCAGGGTGCAGGGAGGGACTGCCTACCGCGTGACGAATCACTCGGTGAACGAATCACTCGATGAACGACCCCGATCCCTGAGTGATTCAAATCATTTCTTTTCAGCGATACACTTTCATGGGGACCGTTTTCTCCAAGCTAGCGGCTAATGTAGCCAGGAGTCAAGCCACATGAACACAATCACACACCTCCCCGCTGTTTTAACAGACTTAGTTTCCAGATAAACAAACTTAAAACGTTAGGCTGGCCAGTGATGAGACTCGCCAGTGCAGCAACAGAGAGAGACTGAGTCGGACTACGCAGCACACAGTCAGGGCTCCTCCCGCCAAACACTGAATGATTCAGCGAACAAATCTTTTGAATGAATCTTTTTAATGAACTGATTCTAGTGATTCAGTAACATGTAAAGAACTGTTTTGCCCATCACAACATGAGAGAGACACATGTGCTAAACTTTTTAATTTCCCTCTCACAAAATGCACACTCACATGCACACACTGGTCTGTAATACACTCACATGCACTGAGAGATGTCAGTGAGGGGGGGCTGCCCACATGACGTGATTTTGCTGAGTAGGACGCAGTGTTTCTCAGAGTCAAGGATCCTTCCTTGGTAGGATGAGTCCTTCCGAGGAACTTCCACTTAGCACTCCATCTCTGCTGTGAATGATTAATGTAAAAACTTTTATGTTTTATCACATGGAGTTATTTTAAAAACCTCGTTATTCGGCAGTGAACACATTAGAAAGGTTCCTGTCAGTATTTTTTTTCACTTGTATGATTAAAACTTGTGGAGACATTAATCCAAATAAAAGACGTATTTAATTCCTGCCGAGCGGCGCTGGCAAAGAGGCCCCGCCTTCACTTCCAGCAAATCGTGTGCAAAGCATTGTGGGGATTTTATACCTGCTGATCATGCATCCTTGGAATTTCTCTGAAAGAAGGACTCAGTCCTTCATGAAACTCACAAGGATCCTTGACATTGGAACAGTCCTTCGGCGAGTCTTTGACGTAGGTTCCTTGAAATTCGGCCATTTGAGGATCCTTCCTCGACTCTGAGAAACACCCATGATCCAGGATCAACATGCTGTATGGTTCCAGGACCAACATTGAAATCAACCAATGACAGCCCTCTGACATTACCAGTGTGTGTATGTTCACAGATCTTAAAAAAGAAGAAACTACCAGCACACTGCATGTTCATTCCTAATTCTTCTTTTTATTCTAATACTGATAAATAAGTCCTCTGGGAATCATCTGACTGCTGCAGCACTCAGGGACTGTGCATATAGGGTTAAACTGTGTGACGTGTCATCAGAGATCTGTCTGTGTATTATACAAGTGTGCTCACACTCACTCCTTCACTTGAAGAAGACCATCTGGCTTAAATGTTCTCAATCATGTTCATATGTAATTTTTAAAAAACCCAAAAGAGCGTGGAATTAACAAGCAGCTTGTGTGTGTGTGTGATTTTAGTGTTTCAGAGCCAATAATTCAATCACTTAAAACGATTTTATTGATATGCATTAAGGATGCACGATATTGATCATCAAGTCTCTTCTGTAGTGGAGTTAACGTCATGCATACTCTCATCATGACGGCCCACCAGCAGATGGAGACTTTTCAGAGTATGTAAGATACATTCATTGTGCAATATAAGAAAAAGCATGTTTGCCAATTCTTCTAGTTCATTTCGCAGCCGGCGTGCCAATGTCATCGTGCATCCCTAATGTGCATGTATCTCTTGATCTCCTGCAGGAAAAGGTTGCACTGCTGCCTGTATCTGTCAGAGTTATGGC